TGAGTTTTGAAATAGTAATTTACTTTGGAAGCGATTTTTTGGTTTGTTTAAAATTATAAATTTTTTTGGGCTCCACTTGCAGGGAGTTGATTGGCACTGAGAAACAGCAATTTTGTTGTCATTTTTTGGTGTTGAGGATGAAGGAAAAGAGAGGAAAAGGTGGTTTTTGGTCCATTTTTTTGAATTTTGAAATAGTTATTTACTTTTGGGACTGATACTTTGGAAGCGATTTTTTGGCCTGTTTAAAATTATAATTTTTTTTGGACTCCACTTGCAGGGAGTTGATTGGCGCTGAGAAACAGCAATTTTCTTGTAGTTTTTTGGTGTTGAGGATAAAGGAAAAGAGAGGAAAAGGTGGTTTTTGGTCCATTTTTTTGAATTTTCAAATAGTTATTTACTTTTGAGACTGATACTCTGGAAGCGATTTTTTGTCCTGTTTAAAATTATAATTTTTTTGGGCTCCACTTGCAGGGAGTTGATTGGCGCTGAGAAACAGCAATTTTCTTGTAGTTTAGTTATTGTTGGCTATTTTTGTTTTTTACTAGCGATTTTCTCAATAACTATTTATTGTAGGATAATGACTTTTTTTTTATTTGATAGAAAATCAATATAATATACAGGATCAATAAGATACCAGGAACATGAAAAAAATGTTAAAAAATTCTATCAATAAAAATTTAGAAGTTATGAGAGTTTAAATTTTGCACTTTGACTCTATTTATTTCTGTTGGAAAAATAATTTGCCAAGTTTTTTTTCCTACAGGCTATTAGAAGAGGAAACAAGGAAACTGTATTCTAAATTGTAACTCTGTTTAATGTTATTTGTGGATTTTATAGGCAAAATTGTTGTACTTTTACTACATAATTATATAAAAAACATATACAAGACCATCAGTATCATTAAATAAACATAAAAAATATCCAATGTCCAAAAATAAATGTCATAATTATTTGACACATAGAATTTTTTAAACATTTTGCATGTTCCTGGTATCTTATCTTACTTGAAATTTTTTTCTAGGGCGCGAGTTCTGGCGCACCCTGTATTGGAATATCACCAAAAAGTTCGGAATAATTGACAATAGACCGCTCCGTGTGCCAAAAATCGACCAAAATCTCGACAAAAATTTAAATCAATTTTAAAAATTTATTATCTAACGTTTTTAACAATTCTAGAGGTCTTCAAGTCTTAAAAAAAGTGCATAAAACGTTATTGGGCTAAGTTTAAAAAATTACGATTTTTTTGAGTTTTTGGAGGTGAAATTTGCTTTTTAAATTTAATTTAAATTTTTAAACGATTACGGCGAAATTAGTGGAGATAGTGCAAAATATTTGTCAAATTCGTAATTAGCCCTTCAAAATCTATCACATAAGTTAGGTTTAATCGAATCTTAGTTCAAAAACACAAATTTTTACGTTTTTTATTTAGTAAATTGCAAAACTCTAACTCAATAATATAATATTTTGACATAGACATATGTAAATGTTCCGACTGGCGTCAAGAAAACTGCAAAATTCGTAATAGTTTTGAAGTTATTTTCCAATTTATATTTTTGATGTCTTTTATTTTATCAGAAATTTTCTCGATAACTATTTATCGTAGAACACTGATCTTCTTTGTATATGATAGAAAATTAAATTTTCTTTCCAATGGAGTCAAACATAAAAAACTATCACTAATAAGTCCGGAGTTATTGGCAATACACGGCTCCGGGTGCCAAAAATCGACCAAAATCTCGACAAAAACCGAAAAAATTTTCAACTTTAAAATTGATCCATATAACGTTTTTTACATTTTTAGAGGTCTTAAAGACTCAAAAAAGTGCATAAAACGTTATTGGGTCAAGTTTTAAAAATTTTGAGTTTTTGAAGGTGAGTAGTAGTAAAATCGTAAAAATAGTCAATTTACCTTAAGTCGTAAAAACACCTAAACTATGGTTTTTTAGACGTAAAATTACGCGCTGATGAAATTACGATGCAACAAGTTAAAATACTTTACGATGCATAGTTTTTGAGGTATTGAGTAATAAAATTAAGAATAGCAGAAATTTACAAGTTTTTACTTTTTTTATTTTGTAAATTTTGGCAAAACTCAAAGGTATATTTAAAGTCTTGACGTTTGCATGTGTAAAATGTTCTGGGAAATCGATTGGCCTTGATAAAACTGCAAAATTCGCTATAATTTAGAAGTTATATCGAATTTATATTTTCGATATTTTTAACTTTATTAGCAATTTTCTATTTATCATAGGACACTGATTCGTTATGATAAAAAAATAAATTTGCTCTCCAACGGTACCAAACAAAAAGGAATAGCGTCAATAATTCCAAAGTTATTACTTATTAGCAATAAACGCCTAAAATTTCGACAAAAATCGAAAAAATTAAAAACTTTAAAATCAAACCATTTGCACTCTTGGAGCTTCAAACGAGTTATAAAACTACAAAAACGTTGCAAAAATGCAAAAAACAAATTTTTGAAATTTTTTATGTATGTACAAATACAGGGTGCGTCAGAACTCGCGCCCCAGAGAAAAATTTCAAGCAAAAGAAGATACCAGGAACGTGAAAAAAATGTTCAAAAAATTCCAACTGCCAAAATATTTTGACATTTATTTTTTTGACATTTGACATTTTTTATGTCTATTTAGTGATACTGATGATCTTAATATGTTTTGTTATAATTATTTAGTAAAAATTTTGCCAACAAAACCCACAAATAACATTAAACATTGTTACAATCTGGGATACAACTTCCTTGTTTCCTCTTCTAAAAGCCTATAGAAAAAAAAAATGGAAAACTATTTTTCTAACAAATAAATAGACCCAAAGTGCAACATTTAAACTCTCATAACTTCGAAATTTTTATAGATAAAAATTTTTTAACATTTTTTTCATGTTCCTGGTATCTTACCTTATATGGCATTTTTCTCTAGGGTGCGAGTTCTGGCGCACCCTGTATGGTGGAAATTGAATTCATTTAAATGCACTTCTGTGGGTCCAAAAGTGCATAAAACGCTGTACAAATAGTAAAAATTTTTATTTTGTGTTGGAATTAATAAATTATACTAAAGCAGAGACACTAGCCGGGGGCGTGGTGGCGCAGTTACATAAAGTTTCTTCTTCCTCAAACCACATCAAGATTTTATCAAATAAACCGGAAGAAGTAATCAGGTTTGCTTATTTCCGCCATTTACTTAGCGATTATGCGTCACACAGGCACGAATTTGACTCCAATGGATTGCAATCGATGCAAACTTTCGAAAAATACCGGATTTGTCCGGGTCCGACCCACAATTCCGGTCAAAAATAATCAAATGTCTCGTTTAAAACTCGCAAAAAATGTCATGCACTGACTCTCTGTTCCATATTCTCTCAATTATCTCAACTTTAATTCAGTTAAATGTTTATTAAAGGTGTGCTAATTAGGGGCGTTTCTACAAAGCGTATGTGTTGAAGAGAAAGCTAATTGGGGCCAAAATGCCACATTTCTAGTTAAATTAAAGGTTAACTGTATTTACTATTTAGACAAAGAGATAGTCGTCGTCGTAGCTCGATTTTCAAGATTTTGGGTACATAATTACATTTTATCTCAAGATTTTCAAGATATTGTTATTGACACAAAAAAAGATTCTATCAACTCTAATTTTTTCATTGAGTTATCGGAAAATTCTACTGTTGTAATTCTTTATATTTAAATTTTTTGCTTTTCAATATACTTTGTTACTACTTTTTAAAATTGTGTAAAAGATTTTGTGTTTAAATTTACATTAAAAATCTTAAGGTTTTCAAGATTAGGTATGTTAAGGGTATTGCACGGTTTCAAGACTGCCGTTTGTTTCAAGATAATTTCAGTTTAAATTTTGAGACTTACTTTTTGAGATAATCTTGAGAAAAATTTAACTTTTTATCAATTATCTCAAGATTTTCAAGATATTGTCTTTGATACAAAAGATTATTTCAACTCAAGATTTTAGCTTATTTCTTGAATTATTTAAAGATTCTACTGTTTTAATTTAAAATATTTAAATTTTATCGTT